AAAAAAAAAAAAAAAAAAAAAAAAAAAAAAAAGAATGGAAGGGAAAAATTATGTTCTTCATTGAGAGAAACTCGTGGGTAATTTATCAGGCTATTTATTTTGGTAGTAAGCATGTCTACAACTCACTTGCCTGAGTTAATAACCTACGTTAGTTCATATGTTAGAAAATGTATTTTTCTTCACAGTCTATATCCTGGACCACTGGCATTTCTGATTAATGTTCTAGTCTTTGAAGGGCTCAGTGAAGTGTATGCACATATAGAGATCCCATCTTGGGGCCAGGGATTTAACTCAGTGGTTCCATCACATGCCTCCCAAATGCAAGGTTTGATCCCCAGTACAAAAAAAACAAAAAGAAAAAGAAATCCTATCTCGGTGATCTACAAAATTAACATAAAAGCCATGGGAGAGCATTCAGATTTTTCATGTTTGGCATTTATTTAGAAGACACATTTGATAAAATAAAACAGAGGAAAATTATAAGTGACATATTTATCAAAAGTTTCTGATAAAATAGTCTTAATGTTATACAGGTCCATATAGGAGTATTCTCTGAAAAGGAAAATAGGGGTGAAGTTTCTGAGAGATGACAAAAGAGGAACTGTCTACTCCACATGGCCAGTAAGGAATTTGTAAGGTGATCACCAAAGCCAATGTTTCAAAAGAAACATATTGTCATTGCTTTATTGTAATAGGTACATTTTGTAAGTGCTAGCAGATGTATGGAGTCCTGTCTTCACACTCTGCAAGAAAATGTTAAAAACCATACGTTTTCCTTTGATAGTTAAAATTCTCAAAATCAGCTGACATTAAAGGAAGATTCCAAAAAAGGAATTTGAAGTTTTGCTTCCACCTCACATTTTCATGCAACTAACCTGTGACATTTAAAGAATCTATTCTTCTAGAAAATGAAATTATAGGTTTATGAATCATGGTAACTGGAGGAGACTACATAAGAGAAAACTGTCTAGGTCCTTTCACTGAACACATACAGTATGAGACATTCTACATTTACCACCTTTTTACCAAAGTCTAGAAAATGCTGATGCTACCAACAGAATCAAAACTATATAATACTATTCAGTACATTTGCTATTTCCCTCAGTCTAAACTGTTTCATTTCTAAGTGATCGGAAAACTTCTTGTCATCAATAATAACAGAAGCTGAATGAAATCTGTATAAGTAGGTATTCATGTGAGAATATAAATATATACTACATACACATTGTATGATAGTGCATGTCTTTTTTCATGTGTACTTTTAGAAGATACTAAGACTTGGGCCCCTAGCAATATAAACAAAGAACTAAGAGGCCTCTCCATTTTCAAGATTAATGGTGGGGAAAGAGACTGTCAGGGTTCAAAATGGCACCCAAAGTCTATGTAATCACTCAATTTTTAATTTTAACAATAATTTACACAATGTTAGATATGCATGGTATGAATATACAATAATATGTTTGATCAATGGCCACAGAACAAGTTTAGAATTGAGAAGAGATCATTAGTCACGTGCAGTTCTACCCCTATTCCCTGTAGTAAGGAAATATAGCAACCTATTTGTTATTAGTGTTAGGAAATTATTTCTCTCTGGGTAAATAGGGATTTATATGTCTCAGATGTATATTAGAGAAGACGTGAAATAAGACTGTGGTGAGGAGAAGTACTTTATTGCTGGTATTTTTCCCTTACAGACATAACTGCAGCTGAACAGTCGTGAGGAACTGTGTGATGCGTTATCTTGTTCAGCAGCATTACTCACCTTCAGGTCCCGATGGACTACGCCCATCTGATGGCAGTGTAGCACAGCCTCCAGGATCTGCTGTATGCAATGACTGCATGCAAACACCAGGGGGCGTGTGTTAGTTCCAAGCTTACACTCACTGTCTGTATAGCCTCAGAGAGACTGGGTTCAAGTGCAGATCTAGCAGACAACTGGAGTATTTAAATCCTTCCACAGTGTACACATATTGCTCAAGGAGAGTGACTACTGTCCCAGGAAATGTCAGGATATTGCCAGATGTGAGCCAGAATGAGGATCCACTTGTTCTTTCCCAAATCGTTTTTAAATTATTTCATTTCATTCAGGAGCTCATTTCCTAGTTTTAAATTCTTCCAGGAAATGAACTAGAGCATAGATATAAGGTTTGCAGTTGTTGTGTTCTGCTTCCACCCCATGCATACAATTTATTTTCCTATTTTCTCTCACTTTTGCAATGTTGTCCTAAAAGCTGTTCCATTAGCAGCTATTCCATTAGCAGATGAGATTAAACTACAATATGTAATGAATTTTTGATAAATCATTAACTTTATGTGCTTTAATTTAGCTGGCAATTATTATCTTTTGCCTCAGGGTTTGTCGGACTCAAATGGAGCAACAAATAACCAGTTGTTCTGCTACAGCAACCCATGGTCTCAGAACAGAAGTGGTGTTTAAATCTACAGGCAACATACATCACAGGCCAAGGTGAGCTCCAGCTAACAATGGGCATCCAAGAAGGGCCACTCCACATGGCGGGACTGGTTCACTGCTTGGAAACAGAACATGCTGTATTCCTCATATTAGTCCCACCCCACTCCTGTTTTCCCTGCTATGATGTATATTGAGCCTGTAGATAAGCAAACCGAAAGAGGCATCATGCATTATCATTTTGTTGGTTGGTTTAGGAAAAAGTCAGAAAAGGCAAGGGAACCATTTCAATACCACCTCCCCTATGCCCTTTCCCCAGAAAGCAGCAAAGAAACTCCTTTGATTTAGATTTATGGACTCCATATACTGACCTTCAGGTCCCTGTGCACTATGCCATTTAGGTGACAATGATTTACACTTTCTAGAATCTGCTGTATACAATGACTGCAAAGATACAAGGGCAGAATGGAAGGGAAAACATTTTAAAGGCACATAATCACATTGAATACAAAATAAAATGAAAGTTCAAACAAAACAAACAAATGAAAAATTATACTGCTTCACTTTTTTTTGTAGCTTTACACTGGCATTAAATAATATCAAATAAAGCTAATTTTGGTTCTAACAAAAATGACAACCAACACAGAATTTGTGACATGTTCAGACAAAACAATTTGAGCTGTGTTTTTTTCATTGTAAATCTACAAATTAAATCATTTATATACAGAAGAGGAAATTTCCATACTTAAGATAAATTTACAAGTAATCCCAAAATATTCTGGAAAAAACATCTCCAGAGATATAATTTTTCCAGGTATTTCTCAGACACATCTAAACTGTTTAAAATCTGAGGTCACAATTAAACATAAGTGTTGAAACAAGAGGGTAAATGCAAATGAAGTAGCAGGTGAAACAAGGGTTAAAAAGGGGGGGATGACACAGTCACTTTTTTTTTTTTTGAGACAAGATCTAAGTTTCTATCTAAAGTCTATACAAATTAGTTGCCCAGGCTAAGTTCAAACTTGTAATCCTCTTGCCTCAGCTTCCCAGAGTGCTGATACCATAAGCCTGAGCCACTGCAGGTTCATCCATCATATATTTACCATTTTGACTTAGAAGTAGTGATTCCTATATAATGCAAGTCTCCAATAACAGAAGGAGAACTTAAAGTAAACCAGTGACTTGAAGTAAACCCCACTTCAGAATGAAAATACTCTGGGGAAGGTTAGGGAGAGCAGGCAAAAATAAAAAATAAAAAAATAAATAAAAGCTGAAATGCCCAGAGCATGCATTAATTGTTAAATCCATATCCATACATTTCAATGAAGAAAGGCTTATTGCTTATTTGTCAAACTGCACAATTTATATTATATTTATTAAAGGCTCACTGTTGTCAAGTAGACTGCTAATTAAATTGTAGAGGAGAACTCTCTGGCCTGGCATGCACAAGGTCTCATTAGCTGTCATCTGACATGTCATAATGTAGAACACATCACACTGATAAATTCTGTACTCCACTGTGCGATTCTAATGCAAATGTTTATAGCACTACATTTAGCCAAGGATGATGCAAACAATTTGGTAAGGACATTTTCAATTATTTCATGTATAAAATATCATTAAAGAAAATTATTGAACTAAAAATGTAATTGGCATACAATTTATTACATGTAAATATAAAAAAAGTACCTGCTTTATGATACATAGTAGTGACCATGCTTTATCAGAGCTATGGTTAATGATGTTACTCTAGAATGTTCTCTTTCCAGATGATGATTAAGATGCTAATAAAAAAATGGTGCCAGGTACCACAACAGCAACAGAACTTTGCTGTTGTCTGGATATTATTCTTTTCTTTGTTGTTTTGTTTTGTTTAATGGAATGTGCTGAATGTCTATAATTTTGTTCAGATGACTGCAGAACCTGGAAAAGCTGTTGCTGCTATCGATGCATAACATACTGCTATTATTAGTCTTTTTATATAAAAGTTGAGTTGCCATTGTACAGAAATAGACAGCCATATTGGTCTAGAAATGTTAATTTTTTAAATTTTTATTTTTCCATTTGTACAGGGGTAACGCATTGTACTAAATATGTAAGGTCATATCTACGTGGGTTTGATTACAGAAACTAAAAAGTATTCTCTAAATAATGAAAAAAAGAAAAAGATAAGACTACAAGAGCAAGAAGCAATTTAAATATATTAAGGGACCATTTTCATCTTCAGAATTAAGGATTATTTTAATCTTACATCATTGCCTTTTCTCTTTTATGTTCCTAAGTTTTATTTTAGGATTCCCTATTTTTAATGTTCATGCACAGATTTCTTTAACTGAAATACCAAATAGTTTCTATGGTGTGGAAAACTATAATAGTACACAAGATCCTACTGAGATAATTAATAATGTGAAATAGGAAGTAAAGGGCTAAAGGTGTAGGGAAAGTGGGAAGGGTGGGGAAAAGGTAATAAGGGAGAGTAAAAAAGTATGAGAAATGGAAAAAATGGAAATAAAGTGTTTGTAAATGGGGAGGGGAGGAGGGGGTGAAGGGAGGGCAGGCACAAGGGGAAAAAATGAGAATTAAGACCTATTATGTAAAGGTACAAGATCCCGATGATGAATGCAACTGTACTGTATACGTACATTGTACCAATAAACTCAATAAAAAGAAAAAATATTGATCATGATTGTGATTTTCTAGTTCTAAATCTATTAACAGTACCATAAAAAAGCCCCCCATGGGTGGTGGGTCATTACCTTTAAACCATGAGACTCTTTTTCCTTTATAATCATGTTCACTTCATATCCTTTATTAGGATTATTTCTTTCTTTTCTCTAACCATAAGCATAATTTATTTGCCGCAAGAAATAATGGAAAAGTAAATAAACAATATTTGTATTAAATGAGCTACTTTTTACCAGGATGGATTCAATTCTTAAAATTTCTCAGTGCTAGAAATGTACACGGTTGGCTAGCATTCTACAATAGAGCCACACCCCTAGTCCCCAGTTCTTTAGTTATTGTGAGCAGTAAGAAAATAGACTTTTGGATTTGCCCATCCATTGGAAACTGGATAAAGAAGATGTGGTTTTTCTATAAAATGCAATATTACTCAGCCATAAAGAACGAGAAAATAGATTCATTCATAGGAAAATGGATACATATTGAAGATATGCTCCTAAGTGAAATAAATAAGTCACACATGTGTAAATACCGAATAGTCTCTCTGGTGTGAATAATCTGCAATAAAACATAAGATCCTAATAAGATTACTGTCATTTAGAAATGAGAAGAAAGGAGCTAAAGGTGTAGGGAAGGTGGGATGGGTAGGGGAAGGGTAACAAGGGAAAAGAAAAAAAAGTGAGATAATGAAAAGATGAAAATAAAGTGTTTGTAGATGGGGAGGGAAGGAGGGGGTGAAGGGAGGGTAGGGGTAAGGGGAAAAAATGAGAATCAAGACTTGTCATGTAGAGGTACAAGATCCCAACAATGAATGTAACTGTACTGTATCCCTAAAATGTACCAATAAACTCAATTAAAGCTGAAAAAAAAATAGACTTTTGGGCCAGGGATTTAACTCATTGGTTCTACTGCCTGCCTCGCAAATGCAAGGACCCAAGTTTGATACCCAGTACCCCAAAAAAATATATAAATAAAAATAAAATAAAATAGACTTTTATAAAGTTGATTAATTTGATGCTAGGGGTTGAACTGAGGGCCTTTGCACCTAGACACATCCCCAACCCTTTTAACATTTTTTTATTTTGAGTCAGAGTCTCACTAAGTTGCCCAATGGGTGCCACAATATTGCAATCCTGCTGCTTCAGCCACCCAGAATGCTAGGATTATAGGCTTGTGTCTTGTGTCATCATGCCTTGCTTTGCAAATGCAATGGACCCTCGACTTATGAACTCTGTTCCTGAGGGCTGGTTGTAACTCAAGTTGGCCAACTGAAGGCTCAGGTCCTCTACACAGGCTTCAAAGTCTCTCTCCTGTATACAGGAAGATCTCAGTGTCCTTAAAGAGAAACAGACCCAGGAATTCTCAATTAACCCCACACAAGAAAGGATGTTGCAACGTTTCTTCCAGAACTCTTTTTTTTTCCTTATTGAGTTTATTGGTACATTTTAGGTATACAGTACAGTTACACTCATTATTGGGATCTTGTACCTTTACATGACAGGTCTTGGTTCTCATTTTTTCCTCTTGTCCCTGCCCTCCCTTCATCCCCTCCTCCCCTCCCCCTTTACTAACACTTCATTTCCATTTTTTTATTTTCTCATATTTTTTTTCTTTTCCCTTATTAGCCTTCCAGAATTCTTTAAGGGTTAAATCTGTATTTGAGACTTTCCGGAAGCACAAGCAGGCAGCATTTGAGCTGTAACTCAAGACTTTGTAAGTTAATACTAAAATTCTGGTTGTAACCTAAATTGTTGGTATGTCAGGCTGGTTGTAACTCAAATGGTCCACTGTATTTCAATAATATATTGTTTATGTTTGTAGTTGGGAAGAGAATATGTCTTCTCTTTGATTTCCTAGCCTAAAGTAGTTATGGGTACTTCTCAAACTTAATGCAAATATGCATATCAAAAGATCCAACAGTGTCTGTCCTATTACTTATGGGGCATTACAAGAGTAAAAAGAGTATCTGTCTTAATTTCAGCCAATATTTTTCATACCTAATGTATGTTTAATATAGCATTGACAGGTAAGCTATATAAATATGCCCTAACTTGTCTACAAGCTTGATTAAAATTATTACTCTCCTGCAAGTGGCAAATAGGTATTGCAAGGCTGCTCTGAGGCCCTTTTCTGGGGCTTGTAAAATTGGAGGTAAATGAAACAACTAATGATTCATTCATCATAGTATAAGTGACACAATTTTCTATTTGACTTTGGCAGTAAAAATGCCATTAAGAAATTAGAGTGTAGTCATATACAGAAAGATTCCCAGAATGCCAGAAACAGTAGCTTAGTAAAAAAAAATCAGTAATTCAGAAGGGAGTTTGTGTGTGGATGCCGTATTTTGGTGGGACAGGAAACTCCAATTGTCAACTGAACATCCGCAAAGGGTCTAGCTTGGTGGGGGTATAGTGCTAAAATCGGAATAGCTCCATTCTAAGACAGAAAGCCATCTCATATAAGATGTGACTCCTAGGTAAACTGCTGGAATTCACTTAGCAAAAGATAAGGGCAAGGCCAGATGGCTGGAAAAAGGGATCATAACACTGCAGGAATTCAAATCCACTTAAAAAAGAGTTTGGTACTTTGGACCCTATGATAAAAAAAAAACAAACCTTAATAAGCGAAAATTTAGGAAATGTCACAATATAAAATAACTTCTGCCCCTTACCCTGCTTAATTCAGAATTAACCTGTACCGGGAGACACCTAATCTCCTCACAAAAGTGTGTAAGGAACCATTGTTAGCTTTGTTAATCAAAGTAGCTCCCTTCCCCCTGGCTAGAGTAGGCAATTAAATGAATCTAAAAGGTAACTTCCCTAACAAAGAATTAGCCCCATCTCCACCCCGAGATAAGTTTTCTTCCCCCTCACAAGTGCCCAGCAACACCCAATAAAAATAAAAAATAGAAAATAGCACCAATGAAAAAGAGAGGATTTCAAGCCTCCCAAACCCTACAAATTTATGCTTTAGAAGGGGGTCTGGACTCTCGACACGGAACCACTGTACTGGTGAGGTATGAGGGTCCAGGCTCGAGCTTGCAATAAACTCCTCAAGTGCATTTACATTGGACTCAACTCCTTGGTGGTCTTTGGGGACTTCAAGATCTGGGCACAACGGGGGGTGGGGGTGGTGGGGGTGGTGCAGCCTTAGACAGAGGAGCAGATAGCCAGAGACTGGATTCTTAACAACTTCTCATTTATGTGGTTAGTGTGCTCATGGCTCTTGATCATATTTTTTTTAACAAGTAGTAACTACAGAATATATAAAGAATGCAGAGAAAAATTAAAATCATATAGTCCAAATAAAACATCTGTGAAAATCTGTCAAGTAAAAAGATTACCCCTGAACATCCTGAAATATCTGAATAAATATTTTCAAGATGGGGTTCCAAGAACTTTAATGAAATTTCCAGGCATAAAAAGCCAATAATAATGTTTTAAAGAGACCACTGTTTGTTTGTTTGTTTGGTCTGTTTTTGCTGTTGACTAGATGTGAGCTATTGGGTAGAACATCTGTGATGACAGAAATGATCTCTTCCCAATTGTTAGCCAGTACCATTTCTGACTACTAAAGCCCTTGGCAGGCAGCTAGCCCAACTGAGGACTGAGAGTAATGTTTAGGCCACATCTTTCTTTTCCCTTTAAGAATCATGCTGGAAAACCTTAAAAAAAGAGAGACTTCAATAAGAGAGGACTTTGTAACAAGAAATCCAAATAGTACTGTGACATTCTCATAAATACTAAGAAATGTCACTTGAATCTTTTTTATCTTGCCCAGGGCAAGTAACTTACCTGGCATCAGCTTCACTGTAATATTCTCTGGCCACTATATCTTCAAACAGTTCACCTCCAGTAACTCTATGAAGACAAATAATGATAATCACATTAAAAAAAAAAATCAGGCATCAATAGATTTGCAAGTAAGGTTCACATAGAATTTTTTTTTATTTTTAAATTATCAAAACTAAGCATTTTAAAACATTATGATATACAATTTTCCAACAGTCAAAACTACAATCTAAACACCTCCATGGGTTTCTAGATCCTAAGATCACAGTTTTTCTGTATGTCATAAGGACATTGAACAACATCTTTTACAGGAAATGGTTTCTATGAAAGTCTTCATTTTAGTCCTCTAAATATTAATTGAGGTCTGGCAAAATGTACAGCACAGTTCAGGAACATTTTCTGAACAAAGAGGGAAAATATGCATCTTAGCTGCTCAGTGTGAGTTTGCAAATTGTTTCTATCTTTTACTACTTGTGTGTGTATGTGTGTGCTGAATCACTAAACATCTACACTTCTCCCTTGCAAATGCTCATACTTCACATACACAATTTTCTTACAAAATTGAGATTATGCAATATCCACAAATAAACTGTGTTTTCCACATTATATTAAATCAAAAGTGCAATTTCATTTTTAAAATAACAGCAACATAGAATTATGCATATGTGTGTGTGCATGTGTGCACACACATATATGTGCATATTTTAGGGTCTTTCAAGAAAAAAAATTCTTACAAGTAAAATTTCTCATCAAAGAGTTCCCACATTTGAAATTTTGTTGGGAGACAAGGGTGAGCTGCCTCCCAAAATAGTTCAGTTTATGGTTGAGAAAATAGAGGCCTGAAGAAGTTAAGTGACTTGTCCAAGATTACACAGCATCTATGGCATGGGCAGGCTACCCACAGCCCACACGTGTGGCCACTGCCCAGTGCAGCCTTCCCGTAATGATCCTGCCACATTTTCTAGATGTGTAAAGGGCACAAATTATTTGAAAAAAAAAATCATCAAGTGAAGGAAACGTGTTTTGTGTATGAGCATTATAGAGTGAGATGTGAAGATAGTTTTTCTCTTTGTTTTCACTTCTTTTTGTGCATTATTACCTTCTGGAACATCATCAAATATAGCATGTTCCAGGGACTACCAGTTATTATTTTCTTCTCTAGACTTTTTTCCTAAAGGAAAACACAGGGTAGCGAAAACTGTAAGTTTATCAGGACATTACTCCACTCTCCCCTCTCTATTCAATTCCGAATTTTTAAAAGTCTCTTATTAATTTGGGAATATTTCTAGTCCTATTATTTTTACATATAAAATGTGACCTAAAGTGATCATATTAAGCTTCATATGGCCTTGTTCTTAAAAACAGGATACATGTAATTTCATTTAGCAGCATAGGTATTTTCTCCACTTAAAATCTATAATAATATGCAACCATGAAGATGCCCAAGATAAATTATAATACAAAATAATTAATAGAAAGTACTCAGGCTACCACTGAGCTATAACTTTAGAGTGATATAGAGTTTTTTTAACAGTGAGTTTTAGATTTTGTAGTTAGGTATTGTTGATACCATTCATTCTCATCTTTTAGCATTCATTCTTATATTTAAAATATTTTATGTAAATAATCATTTTATCACATTGGTGACATGTATAATAGATATCTAAGAAGAAAAAAGTGGGAGTTATAGTAAAATCCACTGCCTGAAAAAGAAACTAATGCATTTTCTATCTTTAATATATTTCTAAACTCACATCATTGTTTAATAGAGCACAAAATTAATCAGTAGTTATTACAGAGTTTTGAACATATGCTATATGAAAATTCATATAATGGCACAAATTCAATTGGTTCCATGAATAAACTGTTAGATTAATTAATTAGAGATTAATTAATAAATAGATGCCACAGTTCTGTTAGGAAGCATATCAATTATAGATTTGTAGCATTATCACTCATAAATATCTAGAACATTTGAGTTTATAGGGAAAAAGAAATAATCTAGGCAAAAATGAGATTCATATAACAAAAAGAAATATTTTTTTGCTGTTTTATTTATAAATAGTTTGATTCATATTGTATTGCTCTGAAAAATGAATTATCCTTTTGTTTGTAATTTGTGTATTTGTAAGTTATATAAAAAATAATCCAAAGTAGTTGGGCATCAGAATGCTGAGAAGGATGGTAAATTCAAGACCAGTCAGGGCAACTTAGCAAGTTCAAGGCCACTCCAGACTATACAACAAGATCTTGACTCAAAAACGTGAAAAGTAGTTTTATATTGAATAAACATTTGTAAAATTTCATAAATACAGCTTTTACTGTGAGGCTACAGATGGTAGAGTCTAAGATGGGTCTCTAAATAGTAAAATGGTGCACATTGCCTAAAAAGTAGCTCTATCTTGGAGATAAGAACTGTGGGTGCCTGAGGTGGTGGAGGAAAAGCCAAGAGCCTCACGTTGGAGCCAGACTGGAAAATAGAAATCAAAACCAGGGCCCAGCTGGTGTGCAGGCAGATAGCATCTTGCGAAGGCAGGTCCAGGAATCTCCCATTAAAAAAAAAAAAAAAATTCCCCTTGGAAAATAAGCATGAAGCTGGAGAATAAACCTCATGAACTGAGACCATTAGACCCGGAATCTCAGCCTCTAAGCAGGGGCAACACAGGTCCACCAAGGATTTAAGCAACAGATTTTTGTTTACTTGTCCATTTGTGGAAACATTTTTCTTGGCACTCAAGTGATGTGTGTGGTTTAGTCTAGTGATGAAGGCAGACACTGTGATGGTGATACACTCATCCACCTGCACTTATCTAACACACTGCCTTCCAAACAGCAGCAGCAGATATTCACTGGGTGCTACTATGTGTGCCACAGATGGAATATTTATGCCCTCCCCGCTTTTCTGTGTTAAAATCTGGGAAATGGGGACTATGGGAAGTAATTAGGTCATAAGAGAAAGCCTTCATGAATGGGATTAGTGCCCTTAAAAGGGACCCCAGAGATCTCTCTCCCTTTTTCCTCCAAGAGAGAACACTCAGACTGCTAGCAAGAGCTGGGGAGAGGTCACGAGTCAGGGTAAAGTTGGTCAGGTTCCTTTCATGGGACTGTCCCCTGTGCAACAAGATTGTCAGCCTCAGTCCCCACACTATGGGCTAGCAGCATGGCCATGCCAATGTGACATCCAGAAGGCCCATACCTCCCATTTCCAGTCACTGCAGTGGCCTCCTAGAAACTCCTAATAACAAGTGATTTAAGGCACAAACTCTGTGAAGATACAGTAGAAAATGAAGATCTCTCAGCATCATGTTCTGAGATTCAGAGTAAATCAAGCCAACCACCAGTGTAAAGATCTTTCAGGCAGATCATATAAATGACAAACACTGAACTTTCAGCACCTTACATAGAGCCTGGCACTCACAGGGAGCTGAATAAATGTTCATTGAGGGAATAACTAAATGGCTGAATGAAACTATCATCATCAGTTTCATAATGTTATAGCATGAGCTAGAATCTAAGGATGAACAGACGGAATCATCTCTCATATATATTACTTTTTTTCAGCTTTACCATATATATTATTTATCTAAACATTTGAACTACACTTGCTAATTCTATCTCCAAAATGAAACTGAAATTGTCTTCTTTCTAAATCTTCTTCAGTGTTACCAGATCAAGTCAACACCATGGTTTATGACACTGTATTAGCCTAATTGGCCGTTTCCTCTCATCTCACTGCTGTTAATTTGCTATGTAATAGCTTTAAATGTGTATCATATTTTGCATATACCAGCATGAAGTTTTTTAATAGCTGTCTACTGATTTTTCTTTTATTGAGTTTTTTGGTACATTTTCTGTATAAGTACAATTATATTCATCACTGGAATCTTGTACCTTTACATAACAGGTCTTGATTCTCATTTTTTTCCCCTTGTCCATGACCTCCCTTCACCCCCTCCTCCCCTCCCCATTTACAAACACTTTATTTCCATTTTTTCATTTTTGTCATATTTTTTTCTTTTCCCTTATTACCTTTCCCCTACCATTCCCATTTTCCCTACACCTTTAGCCCTTTTCTTCCTATTTCACATGGTCAGTTTTCTCATTAGGATCTTATGTACTGTTACAGCTTTTCATACCAGAGAAACTATTCGGTATTTAGACATGTGTGACTTATTTATTTCACTTAGGAGTATATCCTCAACATGTATCCATTTTCCTATGAATGAATCTAATTTCTCATTCTTTATGGCTGAGTAGCATTCCATTTTATAGAAAAACCACATCTTTATCCAATTCTACTTTGTAATAGCTAAATCTTTTTTTTGTTTTTTTTTGTACCAGGGATTGAACTCAGGTCCTTGCACTTGCAAGGCAGGCCACCGAACTGCTGAGCTAAATGTCCAGCCCACTGTAATAGCTAAATCTTGGAAACAGCCCATTTGCCCATAAATTGGAAATTGGATAAAGAAGATTATTTTTCTAAGTAAACTTCTTCCATTACCCCCGACATCTCTCAACCCCTACAGGGGCCCTTTCCTGTCTGCTCTAGCCATCATGGCCTTCTTTAAGACCCTGAAGTGTACAGGATTCCTTCTATCTACCCTAGGACTTTTTCACTTGCTCATCTCTCTTCCAGGACATTCCCAGTTTGTCTACCTCTACTAGTTGCTAAGTCCTTGTTGACCATTGCCATGAGGTGTCACCCAAAGATTTCTGTATTAAGTGTTTAATTTCCAAAGCAGTAATATTCAGAGGAGGAGCCTAGAGTGGTAATTGGATCAAAGGGGCTTTAGCTTTACTGGTAGATTAATCCATAATTTGATGGCTGTACGGGGAGGTGATGGACACAGGAGGTGGGGCTTAGTTGAAGGGAATGACATATAATGCTGTGACCTTAGGGACTATACTGGTTCCTGGAACCTGCCTCTCTGGATCTCTTTCTGCATCCTAGAGGCCATGAGGTGAGCAGTATCCCCGCACCACACCCTTCTACATGTTTCTGTTTCACCACAGGATGGACTGGGCCCTTTGCAACCATGAGCTCAAATCAATCTTTCCTCTTTTAAGTT